TTATTGTTACAACTAAACATAAACACAATTATAACTTAATTCGACCTAATCATGACAACTTCAAACATACAACATTCACTCTTCGAAAAAAAATCTGCCCTCCAGTTTATATTGACAACAATCTAATTCCTCAAACGGACACGGTACTTTACCTTGGACTCACCTTCGACAGAAGGATGACATGGGGTCCGCAAGTTAAAATGAAACGTAAGACACTTAACAAACTATTCAAAGTACTTTACTCTCTTTTTTTCTAAATCTTCAAAACTAAAACTAGAACAGAAACTGAATACATATACATACTTACTTAAGCCCATATGGGCATACTCATCACAAATATACGGCAACGCTAAAAAGACCCACTTACAAAAACTTCAAACATTCCAATCAAAATTATTGCGACTCATAACAAAAGTACCTTGGTACGTGACTAACAAAACTCTACATACAAATCTCCACTTTCCAACAGTTGGCCAACATATGAAGACCCTTTATCAACGATTTTGCACAAATTTAAATGGACATAATAACAGACTAATAAAAAACATGGCCACAGCTGACATACCGCAGAACATGAGGAGGAGACTAAAAAGGCGTTGGATGAGGGATCTCCTTCCTTAAACAACCGAAGTAATTGGAAAAAGTTAGGGAAGAGGTACTGCTGAGTACTTTACTTCCCCATGCCTGTCATGTCATTATTTCATGTATAGCCATCACATTTTCTGATTGTCAACAATAAGTTGACAGGCGAAAATACATTTTTAAAGACAAAAAAAAAAGTGGGATAGAAAAAGAACGGATAGTTCTTCTTCAGGGATAGAACGGACAAGATACAAAAAGATATAGAGAATTGTGGAAGTTACATAATATTAAGACAAACAATTACAAACAATGTGAATAAGCTTATTGAAATTATAAACAGCGAGTACATTAAAATATAAACAGAATAAGCTAAGTAAAGAGATCCTACACTGAAGTAAATAGATGATAACGATTGTTGAAGTATAATCTATAATATATGCAAACGTGAATATACTTCTACAGATCTACTGGAGAGATAGAAAGAAAAGGAAAAAGGATATAATATGAAATAATAGATTTAAAGGACTGTGAAGAAAGAAAAGAAAACCAAAAAATTAATAAAGAAGTATATAAAATTAGAAGAATAAAAATAGAGACTTACAGGTCGGGTCGAAGGGTCGAAACGTTGGCTTTTAATAAAATATTTTTGCCACTATTTACCCTATTTATGACCGCCACCCCGGACCATCTCCTTCCTTTGTAAAATATAAAGATTTATTGCGGCTCCCATTAACACTGCCTAATCATACAGCGGCATCTAATGATAAAAACATTACCCATCTGTGATCTATACAGCAACTCATATTAGTTCAAGCATCTAAAGGATCTTAAATCTTAAATAAACTTAAATCAGGATTATAATTAATCCTTTAAGAGGATAATACCTGAAAGGGTAGTTAACCAAGTTTTAAACTAGAGTTAAGTTAGTTAATCCCCTTTGGTCAAAACATATCTCTCCAGATCATTTGAAAAAATTACGAGCTGATCGGAAAAGAATAAAATCTAAACCGCACTTGGCTATCAGAAATCAAACGGCAGAATGCTACATGACCAGCATAAGAAAATTTTCATTTTAATCACAACTATGTACAAGAAATTTTATAGATAGGTAATTTAGTCGACTGATCAATTATTAGGACGTAACAGAATTGTGAGCATTTACAGTCAAGAATTTGTATTAGATCAGCTTAATTTGGGTCGAAACGTCGGCAAACCTAATAAAATCTTAACTGTAAATCCCATATGGACGAATACATTTATGTTTTATGAAGGAATGAATCCAATAATATGAACAATAATTTCGCATCCAAGCAATAATGGTAAATACAATTTCATACCATAATGTATACACCGGAGTTATGATATACATTATCAATCCGCAATACAATCGTTATCATTCCGCAATAGATAGGATTTACCCATCACGAGCTTCATTATTCGGATTAGGGGCTATTCTCCATATTCAAATTCCTTTAACGTATGACATTGGTAGCTTGCATACATATTGTCTCCAAGCGTTCGTATACAAAGAAACATAAGTAGGCTTGTATGTCCTGGTAATCTGTTAGGACGTGACTAAAAATACGGTTCTATTTTCAGTCTTCATGAGTAACACAACATGTAAAATATTAGAAGGCTAAGTCTAGTATTGGGCCTGAGATCCTAATATAAGTTTCCATTAGTGAAGAACGCAAAAAGAAAAAAAAATACGTATAGCTTAGCCAGTTTCTGAAGGGCGAGTCAAGGAAAAAGTTGGGGAAACACTGCAATTTAACCGAGGGAAAATGCAAACTGATCAACATTATATTTATCTTGTAAACAAAGAGTTGGCCTCTTGCCAAAGAGGAATATAATTTAGTGTCATGAACCCCCGCTCTTGAACGTCGTTGGCACAGTTTGTGCTGTGTGTTTCCTGCATGGCAAATTATCTCTGAGTCGTTCCTTGAATTAATTTTTGTGCATAGATGAATGAAATTCGCGGAAGTATATTTAGGATATTGTTGCGCAATCAAGTGGCCTATGTAATAAATTTGTGGTGATCCATGTTTTATAATTTCTAATAATATATTTTTTTCTAAGGAATTTTTTTTTTAGTTTTAAAATACATTTTCACAGGTGTTCATACATCTAATTTGTTTTTGTTTTTTAAACACAATATAATATTGCTACATTTCAAATAATAAATAAATTATTATTATTTAACTTATAAGAAATGCGGAACCAACTTGCAACTTATCATGAACTGCATTTGATTATTAAAGAACTTTTATTAAGCTCTTCTGCAATATTTCTCGTTTTCTCGAATACTTCCTACATTATAAAATTGTTTACTGCAACTAGGCGCTCATATATATAGTTAGAAACTATTTTCAATGAAAGCTTCTCAGTATAATTCAAGTGATTGTAGAGCTCGATACCCGAAATCATAGTCATTGTGCAAACACAGAATTCCAACTACCTTTTCAATCTCCTTGGTGTTGTCAGTCAGGGTTGCTCAAAAGGCGGTTTCATGGTGCAAGATGCGCCTTAAAATTTTTTTGAGGGGGAACATTTTGATGGGGTATTAAATTTTTGAGAGAGGCACATTTCGCCAGGGTCATGAATTTTCGGAATGTAAAGTTCCAAACTAAGGACAAGAGAAAAACAGATAACAAAACGCATTAAGTGTAACTGTACATGATCTATGATCTTTTAAATTTTACTTTCGCTGTCATTGTTATTAAGAAGAGGAGAGAAGATAAATATGTTGGAATTGGGAGAAGGAAGATTCTTGCGCCATCGACCTGAGGGGGAGGGGGTGGGATGGGCATCCCTGGTGCCAGGTATCATTGTTTGAATGGTAGGTCAAGTGGATCCAGAAAGTATCAGTTAATCTTCGGTACCCAAACTGACAAGAGGCTACTAAAATAAGTAGCTAAAGATCTTTAAATGTTCCGTTTCTCACAAATTAAGTGCAATGAAAATCATTTTATTTTTAAATTTATAGCCGTTTCCAGTGCACTGCATTCAATGCAACCATCGGTCATAACCTACCAAGGTCGTACTGACGTCACAACTTGAATCTATCAGCACTTGTGAAGATATCGATTGATACAGCCTATTTCAAGGTTGACTGTTTGGCGTTGAATAAAAGCTATCAAGTTCATTATTGGTACTTAGCAGCGAATTCAAAAGAAATGAAGTTCATTTCCTACTTCGTTTTAATATCGCAGAACTGAGTACACACACGTCACAATAATGAAATACGTTATATACACTCGGGTAAAAAATTAAGCCTTTTTTATAAATGACCAAGCTTTCATTTGTTTACTTAAACCTCAGAATACAATAGTTAAATTAGTATATTAGATAATTATAATTAGTTTAGATAAATCTAAACCTTAGCAAAATAGATACATGTTTAACAACAACATTTTCATATTTCATAAGTATCAACATTGATATTAAATAAATTAAAACTTGATAGATATTTCATCTATTTGAATTTTGTTAACAGATCCAATAAATACCTAAAAATTTATTATTTCCAATGATCCTAAATTATAGTTCATAATTATTTTATTTATCAAATTCTTTATTACAGTAAAAAAAAAACCCAGGTGAATCATAAATTCGAGAGAATCTTATATTCGATGTAATACGGAATTATTCCTTTGAAATAACCTGCGCTTCACCAATTAAATAATATGCAGTTGGAAAATACATACCTAAACATTTTAGAAGGCTGGGAAACGTGTGCCTCGTATGGGGAATATTTTCCAATGTAGCTGAGTTAGTTTTTTTTTTTTTAAATTCTCGTATCCCATCATTTATGGCATAAAGGGTGTTGAAATAAAGGTAAAACAAACTATTCTAACCAGAATGGGATGGTAGAGATTGATTTGAGAGTTCACCACGAAATAAATTTTAATTCGCCTAGGCGGGATTCGAACCGGTGCCCGCTAGATCCAAGAATGGTAAAGGGGGCACACAAGCTCTTAAAATCTTGTAAACTCAAAAAAAAAAAAAATAGTCAGTTTATTAATAAAAATAAAATAGAATGATATACATTAAAAATATAATTATCAAAATTTATGAATTAGTACAGGTATGTTATTTCAATAAAAAATAATAATAATAAAAAAACAAGAATTGTGGAATAATTTTTAAGATACTAAACCAAGGCCAGAAGGATGTATGAATATAAACTCTACCTTATTCAAAAGATCCTCATAAAATTTAATATGTATTATTATAGTTGATATAAGAAACAATCTCATAAAAGAAACTTAATATCCTAGAAAGTTTTGACGGATGGTAGGAAATTACAGTTTGATTTCCAAGGAAAACTAATCAGGATTTTTTTTATTTTTATTTCTTTTCCTATAACATGGAAATAACCTTTTTAATACGGCTTAAGATAGCTAGTAAGACGAGAGTTAGTTTTTGCGGCCATTTTTTGAAAAGGAAGCAGCAAGCACTGTGGCACTTCCTGTATCGTTCGTTCGCTGCAGCATCGCTTCCGGTGATGGTGGGTGTTGGAGGTCACTGGAGAATGCATGGCCTTAAGTAACTCAAGAAGACATTTGTTAAATTCAACAGAAATCAAGACACTAATTACATCAAATACTTGGGAGAAATAGTTGAATGACAGTTTCAAAATTGTCAAGAGACATGTATCAACCCTATCATTGTTACGTCATCACTTGTTTGATGACAAAACATATTCTGGATTATGTAGTTTTTTAATTTATTCTTATGTTTTGGTTATTTAAATAAACAATCAACTCAAGGTTTTCATTCTTCAGAAGCACCCAACCTTTTTATCCTGATGTATATTTCTTGGACAACCTCGTTATTATCTTCTGAAGTTATATTATCGCCTGAAATATCGTCATGAGCTAATCTAGAAAAGCAAAAAAGGGCTTTTTTTTTGTTTGTTAATACTCTTAAGACCTTACAGAGGATAAGGATTTCCATAAAATATAGGACTTACTAGTGAAATATTTTGAAAACAAATAAACAAGAACTATGCCATGGAGGAGTGCTGCAAAGAGGTATGATTCTTGTTAACGGCATCAGAAGGTCAATAACTAACAATAATAATAAATCAAAAATAGGAATATGAATAATAAATAATTTAACCAAATTTTTAATTTATCATAATTTTAAAATGATTGAGTTAGATTATATAAAAAAATAAATGTATTATATAAACAATGCATTAAAGTATATATTTTTTAACATGATGTAGAAGAAACATTAAATTTTAACAGCAAAAAAAAAACGTAATATTATAATAAACGCATTCGTGAACAACATTCAAATAGAAGAATAATTATAAAATTCGATAAATTTAGTAATTAGAATAAAAAAAAGAAATTTAATTTTTATTTATCTGTTTCTTAGGTAAGGATATTAAATTTCAATAAGGTTACTAAGCGGTCGGTTCATAACGAAATATTTAGTTTTCTATTCTTTTTTTTTTTGTTTACATAACGAGAATGAAACAACTGAAGAATTTTCGGTTAGGCAACGCATAGCGTGAACTGTACCGATAAATTTAATGAAGTTGTAAGAATTGTAACAAATGAAATGGGTGCGTTAAGTTGCTTAACCGAAGTGCATGCGTGTTAGGGATCGACCAAAGCTTTGATGTAAGGTTTACGTAATGTCCATCTTTGAAGGATTTGGGCTTTGATGGAACTCCATGGTGGTGGGTTTGCAGACAAAAACTGTCGGTATTATATTTAATTGAGTTATCGGCACCAAACAGCGGAAACACTAAGCATTTTAATTATGTATTATTTCATATTCGGGAGACCCACTTGGGACGTACCCAGTTTAAGTTGGTAATCCTTAATTGGAGGAATAGTTGACTGTTCAACGTCTTCCTGGTTAATTCCGATGATGAAAAAATTGTACTTTCTTACCAAGTACTGAACTCTATAACGCATTTTGGATTATGGTGGGTACAGTTTTTTAAAAATTTATTTATATCCTTTTAATTATTCCTATTTCTTGTTCATATTGGTATTTCTCAGATAGATTCAAGATCTTGTAATTCTTCTTTATCTATCTTTTTCTTCTTTATTAGATTCTTTCACACTTATACTAGGATACTTGTGGTGAACCTACGTAATGCAAAATAGTTATGAAAAATCGTTCTATTTGTAACTACTAAACAAGTGTCGGAGAAAACCTGACTAATTTACATATGCAAGTATTCTGCATTAATTATTATGAATTAATTTAAAATATTCTACAAGCGCACAAGATATGTAAATGTGTTCCTATCTAAGAAAGGGAAAATTATTATATCATTATAAGAGAAGGTAAATACAAAGATATATTTTTTAATTATAACAATAACTATTAATATTAATACACCGTTCTATATAAGGCAGAAAAAAGTATCAATATCGTTACATCATAAGAAATAATGAGAAATATATATATATATTTTTTTTGTGATGATAATAAGATTCATAAATTTTTCAAGATCTGAAGATCTAAACTATTTAATTCGCGATCAAAGACCTCTGGAAAGGTTCAAAAGAGAAATGGCAGATGCGTTGATGTAATTGCCTATTTATTTAAATTTTGTTTTTTATTTCAGTTAAACATTTATACCATTAATTTTAAAAGATGATAGGAACAAAACTTGCTTTATAAGTGTGATGTACAGTAGATAGTACTGACGGTTCTGTTAGGAGAATAATTTTTGAAAATTTGGTTTAAAAACGCAGAAATCATTTATTATACTTATATTATGAAGTAATAATAATATAGTACGTGGTAGAGACCCCTTTTCATCAAATTATTAACATCCGCCTCATATCATCGTAATCTACAATTATTTCATTTACGAAAACTCTTGGAATAGGGCCGTTTTCAATCTAGAAATCGACAAATTTTGTCTATTTAATTAGGTACTAAAAACTCGTAAATACCCATTTCCTTTCTATTTGGATCGTAACATAATTTGATCACAAAATCGATAAAAAAGGTGGCCTGCAAAAATATTGAGGCGTTTTTCGTATATAACCTCATTGTTTTGAAATTTTGGAGGTGTAGGTCACGTCAAACGGGTCAATATTTTCGAAGTCCAATTTTTTTGTCTACAACTACTTTCATTTTCGAAAATTCTCGAAATTGGGGCGTTTTTTATCAGGAGATCGCTACCCTTTGTCTATTTAATTAGGTATTAAAAACACTTGAATGCCCATTAACTTTCCACTTGAATTGTAAAATAATATGATCACAAAAAAAAAAAAAAAAAAAAAAAAAAAAAATGGTGGCCTACAAAAATATTGGGCCGTTTGGCCTATATAACCTCGTTATTTTGACATTTTGGGAGTCCTATAGGCCAAACGACTCAATATTTTTGCAGGCCACCTTTTTTTTAAAAATTTTATGATCATATTATCTTACGATTCAAGTGGAAAGCAAGTGAGTATTTAAGAGGTTTTAGTCCTTAATTAAATAGACAAAGTTTGTAGATCTCCAAATCGAAAACGTCCCAATTCAGAGAATTTTCGAAAATGAAATATTTGCAGGTTACGATAAGAAGAAGCTATTTACGAAGATTCAGACGGATGTTAATAATTTGATAAAAAGGTGTCTGTACCACAGATTATATATGTTTTGAATGGAACAAATGACATTGGTATGTAGTGTAGCTAAGCATGAACAAAAAAAAAACAACTCAATTTTCAGAAGTCATGAGTATAAGGATGTGGAGACTTTCGGTTTCGGTTTGGCATAAATTGGAAACACCGAGACAGAGACCTCGCAGAGATTACGTAAACGGGAAGACGATCAGGACAGTTTTATCGAGAGGAAGGAGCACGCTTGGGATGACTCTTTGCATAAATCGCACTTTCAAGAGGGTTAGCATGTCCTAAGGTACTTTCTAGAAGGGCATCATGTTCCGACTGGAGGGAGAAAGTCATGAGGTTCATGGGAAACGGATACCTTGGCGAAGTACGTGATGCAGGCGGCGTACTCCGTAAGTTCTGAAAGACCGGTCATCGCCTTCTAAAAATCTTTCTTCCAGGAATTGATCTTATAGCAGAATCCCAAAGGGGCAATTAATTCACGAATAGGTGGCTTAAGTCACGTATCCAAACGAGTTCGAATTCATTCCATGAAACACTTTGTTAATTATAAACAGCATAATAATATACATATGTAGTTCGATCACGTAAGCAGTTGTGCCTAGCCTTTACGATCAACGATATATTGTTCTCTTTTCATTTATTAAATAAATATAAAATAAAGTCCACCATAGTAAAGCTAATTTATCATAATCAGGAATGAATAAACAAAAACGTCAGAAATACTTATGTGTTAACTTTAGCAAAAAAAAAATATATAAATTTTCCTACCAACAAATAGTCCATTGTTTTTCATTGAGCTCTTACCTTTTCAGCAACTCAGTAGTCATTTTCGCGATCCTGAACCAAAACTTATTATTAAGGAGGTTAATACATCCTTTATGAAGCGGTTTTCCGTTGGTTTACAGAAATACAATCACTTCCCCCTTGAGACTATGGCAACAGACCTTTACCCTCTTGATAAAGGGTTATCAGATGAATCAACATAAAAACATTATCTAAATTTAACCAAAACTATAAACAGTTCACTTTATTGCGGTTGATGTTCTGGGTCAGGAGAAACGAAAAATACTATCAGACATTAATAACCATAACTGCCTAATGTTAATTAAAAAAATCAATTATAACTTTAGTAAACTTTTAGATACCTGATAAATATCATTCAAACTGTTCAGTTAAATAATTATAGTTCACCAGAATTAGTATATTCAAGAAATTGGCCACCAAAACGTCGTATTCTATCTTTTCCTTCCTGTGAGGTTAAATTAGAAAACTGATGGACATTATTAATTTATATGAAGATTGTATTATCATTGAATCGTGTAATAATGAGAAATGAACTACGTCAATTATCTCCTGAAACAACAATGTTCAGACAATAAATCAAGAAATCATGTAATAAAAAAAAAATTAAAAAAAATGCGACCTGCCCACCATAGAACTTTCACTTACCGCCCTAGTGAAATAAAATTCTGCTCAATTAGGGCTAGTTAATATTTAAGGAATCACTTTAAGGGATCACAACTTTAGATCTTTTGACCAGTTCAATTACCTTGGAAGCCTGGTAACATGCAATAATAAAATAGGGAGTGAAATAAAGGCCAAGATAGCAGCAGGAAATAGATGATATTTCTTACTGCAAAGAGATTTGAAATTTAGATCACTCTCTAAAAGAATCAAAACCCTCATCTACAAAACCACAGTAAGGCCAGTGGTTATGTATGGATGTGAGACTTGAACCATGACAAAAAACTCAGAAGACATACTCAATTTCTGGGAGAGAAAAGTATTGAGAAGGATATGGGGTGGATTTTCTGAGAATGGAATTTGGAGAAGAAGAGAACCTTATATTGTGGTAGTGATAAAAAGAGCCCGGATAAGTGGGATAGGTCATGTGGAAAGAATTTTCGACCAAAGAATGCCAAAGAGGATGCTGTATGAAAAGCCGAATGGCAAAAGAAGTAGAGGAAGCCCTCGGATCAGATGACTGGAGGATGTGGATGACGATCTGAGGCCCTATCACCACGATCTTGTGTTATTTGCCTCCATCTTCGAACGCCCAGCCGCCGCCTCAGATCGTTGGCTGCACTGGAGTAGACCGGGGTTCTCGCAGGACCGTAGCGCCATTATAATAATAAAAATATTTAATTATTTAAGGACCTACAGTTATTCAACTAATGTTAAGTTAATAAAGCCTATTACAACATTTCCGTAATATTTCCAGTTTTTCAAACGTGTATTTCTGTTGAAAACATGGATTTAATTATTTATTTTTATTATTTTTTTTTTAGAAAGATTTGTTTTCCGTTAGCTTAACAAGCGTTTTAAATCTTAGGCCGCCTAGACCAGACTTCTCCACCTGGACCTTTCTTAGTCATCCCAGTTATCCGCATGCAGCTTTGCGGCATCTTTGTTGATTCAATTTATCTTTGTTGTAACAAAATGTTGTTGTAAGGATGCGTGTTGTAAACGTAAAAATAATATCGCCAAAAAACAAAAATCATTAATAAAAATATTAACAGCCCAGCAATACTAATTTTTCCATAGCATACGATTATAAAAAAAACATATACATATAAGAAACATTTATTTTAAAGGGAAAATCTTTAGAGTGAATTGAATACTTAAAAATTAGAAGCATGAAAACATAATACTCGGCATTTAAAAATATATAAATTAATACAAATCAAAGAGCTTTAGATTCATTATTAATTTTTTATATTTATCAGGCGGGAATTGAATGAATGACAGGCCACTTTCTTCATATTTTATCTCTTCAAATAATAGAATACTTCACTAATCTCTACGCAAAATAAAGTAGTCGACAAGGTAAAGAAAAAAAAAACACGTGTTGAGCGAAATCGATTTTTGTAATTTGAATATTACATAAATGATTTGTTTCAAAAGAAACTTACAGAAGAGTACGTATACTGAAAATGATTTTAAAAAATAATATAATAATTTCATTAATTCTAATTATTTTGATTAATAATTAATTAAGAGGGTAATGATAAACAAAAAATATACACTTATTGTTAAAAGTTTTAAAAAGATTACTTAAATCGAATTTTTTTTTTTTAATATTTATTTTTAATACGGAACACAATCTATCAGAAATCATATAAGATGCAAAAATCCGTTAAAACATGATAAATATTTATTTATAATTATATGTGTTATTAGTGTAGGATCTGAGTTATTTTATAAAGTTCAGCAAAATACAGAAATTGAACTTCAATGTTCCTTATTCCGCGATACTAATATTCTCTCTCACCCTCACTGATTCTCTCTCTATCACTCTCTCTCTCTCTTTCTCTCTCTCTCTCTCTATATATATACATATATATATATATATATATATATATATATATATATATATATATATATATATATATTCATTAGACTGCACTGAAGTAGTAAAACTACCTTTACTTTGAAATTGCCTAATGGTTATTCTATCTACAGACCACCTATCAATCGACAACTAACCTATAAAATACATTATACCAGCAATCAGTACAATTATATTAAAGTTCACATAACATGTGCAAATTATTCCTTATGATCAAAATATGCTAAGAATTAAATGAAGGTTAAGCTCTAATATGCAACTCACATTTTTTTCACAACAACGAACCCATGAATTATTTACATCCAACTAAAATTACGTCAAACCCGCAAATACATAAATTATAATTTGTGTATAAGAAAATAGAGCGAATATGCATTTTTCTTATTTAATTATACAAACGATATTTCATAATACATGACATAGAATTATCACAAACGAAATTTCTGGGATCTGATGTTTCCTAACTATATCTTCAAAACCATATTAATGAAGACGGAATAATTATTATATCATGAACAAACAAACAAACAAAAAATTCATTTAAAATCATTAATAAATTATAAGAAAAGAAAGTTGAAATTTCAATACACTTTTCTTTTATGCACTCATAGGTTCAACAGAACAATGGCTCAAACCATTTAATATCGTAAACAGGAAGCTATAAATATTTAAAGTGAAAGTAATTTAAATAAATTTCACTAAAGTCAATCAAGAGGCATTTTCAAGATTTAGTACGTTGTTACAAGATTCAATAATACTAATCCAAAATTATTTAAGGGTCTATGATTAATTTCTGAAAACGATACTAAAAATAAAACTGTACAAAACTATAAATATACATGAAAAGAAAAATTAAATTTGAAACTTAGCCTGTCTTCCACTTATATTTTTTCCCAATTGAGTTTATGGCAGCAAATATAAATTTAATGCTCAAATCTATTCATTCACAAAATCATTCTAGATAAGACATCTCAACAGTAATGATAAAGATTCAGAAAAATGGCCAAACTTTCATCTAGATCAATGAGTAGGAAAGAAACAGAAAAAAAAAAAAAAAATATATATATATATATATATATATATATATATATATATATATATATATATATCTTGCTTCGTAAGATTTGTAATCGGAACCCCGAGACGCTCCCGTGTCTCCCACCACTACACTGGGTTAGGGTGGCTCTTCCCCTCCTTAAGAAGACAATATTTCCTTGGCACTTTCCTTTATCAAATCATTACCGATCATCGTCCTTCTTATGCCTACAACCTTCTCCAATTTAAGTCCTCAATCCATTCACTCACTACAAGATCCCGACCCTCTGACCTATACATCCCTTCTCATAGATCTGCCTCATTCCAAAATTCCTTTATAGCCCGCTCTGTCAACTTTTGGAATTCCCTCCCGATCAAAATTCGACATGCCCCTTCCCTGTACACATTCAAAAACCTCCTATTCCAATTCCTGTTCCAAAAACAGTCAGATACCAGCTAACGATTAATATTATATATGGATTGTGTAGCAATCATAACACTTGGTAAGAGATAGTACATGCATTTCCTACTATCGACGTAGGAATTTCAATACATACATTTTTTTGTATTTTTTTTTTTATTCAATTATAAGTAACTGTTTATTTTCATATATATATTCAAGTAAAGTTTTTTTTTTTTATGAAATGAACTCATTGTATCTCTTTTTCGTTCTTCATTTCTCAAAGTTTATGTTTATGTTGTGCAACCCTTAAATATAATTTTGTTCATAGTTCAAATGATTCGTTCATAGTTTTAATTGTTTTATTCATAATTTTAAATGCTCTGTACATAGTTGTATCTGTATTGTATATAGCTTGTGCACCTAAGGTTTTCTTTACTTTTTATTTTATTTTATCAATGTTATTTATTGTTTCAACGATCAGGCCAGTAATATTCTATTATTTTGTACATTATTGTTATTCTGAAGGGACTTAGTCCCAGAATAAAGTTTTTTTTT